TGCTTTTTATGAATGGCTTTCATAGTAACATTAAGTTACTTATGCGAGTCAAGGAGCTTGCTATTCTCGTTCCCTTCGCAACTTTGGCTTGAAAAGTTGAAGAAATCAGAATAATGTTATAATAAATGGAATTCATTACTTTCACATGATCAGCAGTCTAGTGCTTTTAGACATATTTAAATATACAGGATATTTCAACCTAAGGTGGCTTATGATTGTCAAGTATTGGATGCTTGAATGTCATTTCCACATCATCTAATAACACTGGACTGTAACTAATATCTCATATGGGGTAAAAGTAACTCAATACATGCATTGTTCAAATTTTTACTGTTTGGAAGTGCTGAATGTTTTAATGCAGAAGCTTTAAACCCAAATAATTGGAGATATCTTTGAGTTTCTCAGTAATTCTCAATGTAGTAGCCCGCTATTGCATTATTTCCCAATACAGGTATTCTATACGAGATCCCGCTCCAATGAGATCGGTTTGTGTACACGACTCCCCTTTTTATCATATTTTCGCTTATCAGTGAAAAATTGATAGCATTTACGGCCACTTTGATAAGAAAGAAAATAATGACTATAGTATGCTGATTGCGTACGCTTTGATATGTAGGTATATATATATATATGTATATATATACCGTTAATCTAATTAAATGAAATATTTTAACTTTTTGAGCATTATATATATTAGACATATAGGTATTGTTAGGTACAGATATATGATTTTAGTTGATAACTGAACTATTATTACTAGATTGGATTTTAAATTTAAAGTATAAGCACATAAGTGAAATGGGTAAAAACGTAAAAAGTGCCGATAGATTACATCCTGTGGTGTCTAATATTCTCGTTGATGATTTAAATATAACGTCGGTGCTATCCAATCAGAACATTACGATTAACGTGGATCACGAAGTCGATAAGGATGAAGCATTAATATTAGCATTAGGATACAAGCAGGAATTTAAACGTGAGTTCTCTCTCTGGACGTTGTTTGCGGTCTCATTTAGTGTGTTGGGGTTACTTCCATCGATTGCAGCATGTTTTGATTACCAACAGTTGGTGGTTGGGATGTCGCCGGTTCCGTGGATTTTGGCGATCATTTTTATCTCATCAGTGGCATTATCTATGGCAGAAGTTGCCAGTGCTTTTCCGACCTCGCTGGGGACTCCATATGCAGTGTCACAGTTGGCACCTCCAAGATGGGCACCTGTCTTGACGTGGCTAACCTGTTGCAGTAACTGGTTGTGTCAAATTACAGCTGCTCCATCCGTTAATAACAGTTGTGCCTGGTTAATTTTAGCTTTAAAGACTTATAATTCAGATAATGGGTATAGTCCATCATATGGTGAAGTTTACGGCTTAACGACTGGAATTCAAATAGTTCATGGGATCATATCTTCCATGCCAACTAGATGGTTGGCAACGTTTAACTCCATGGGAACAATTACTAATATATTGTTTTTGGTTATTGTATTTGTAATGATTTTAGGAGGTAACGACCGTCAAGATCATTTTGACAACATCACTAAATTTAATTCAAACGATACTGCTTGGAGTTTCTATAACCAAACTGATTGGCCAATGGGTATTGCTGTTTTGCAATCTTTCTTGGGTGTAATTTGGGCTATGTCTGGTTATGATTCTCCATTTCATTTATCAGAAGAATGCTCTAATGCTAATGTGGCAGCTCCAAGGGCCATAGTACTTACTGCAACATGTGGAGGTGCTATTGGTTTCGTATTCATGTTGGCTATTGCATACACCCTAGTTAGTATTGATCAGATTGCAGAAGATCCGCAGGGTCTCGGTCAACCTTTCGTTACATATTTAACTCAAATATTGAGTAAGAAAGCTGTCAATGCAGCAACAGCATTAACAATCATATCTTCTTTTTTTATGGGTTGCTCATGTATGTTAGCCGCATCCAGAGTCACCTATGCTTATGCTAGGGATGGATTTTTTCCATTATCTAGATATTGGAAAATTGTTAATAAGAAAACACAAACACCAGTTAATGCCGTATGGGTTAACTTATTTATTGGTCAACTTTTGTTATTACTTCAGTTTGCGGGTGATACTGCCATAGGAGCCATTTTTTCGGTGGGTGGTATTTCAGGATTTGTTTCTTTCACTATGCCAACCTTATTAAAAATCACTTATGCTAACAATTCTTTCAAGAGAGGACCTTGGCATTTGGGTAGATGGTCAAGACCTATTGGTTTTGTATCGGTAGCGTTTGTAGCAGTAATGATTCCAATATTGTGTTTCCCAACAGTCAGAGGTGATGACTTAACACTCGATCAAATGAACTGGACTGTGATTGTCTATTTTGGTCCTATGTTAATGTCATTATTATGGTTCGTTATCGATGCCCATAAATGGTATAAGGGACCTAAGCCAAATATTAGTGACGAGGATATGGTCTACGGGAATTCAGATATAATTGATGGCTATGACAATGAGAAAGGAAACCATGATACTGTTATATCTTCCAAAGATTATGAATCGGCCTAGGGTAATTTGATTTTGTATATTTCTAATAAATGATTAATTTTATATTTGTATGTATTCAGAAATTTTGTAATTTTCTGATATTTTTTGTTTAGTGAAAAAATTGCAAAACTAGAAAAGATGCATAATTAGAACTTTTAATGTATTGTTGCATTCCTTCCAATTGGAGGAAAATTAATTGATATATGCTATGTGCAAATGGATGATAGTCGCATTCAGGCACTAATATGCAATATGCCGAAGATGTTCAAGAGCCTTACTATCTTAGAGTATAAATATAAACCCACTGTAACACCATGAAAATCAATTTAAATGTCTAGTAAATCATAAATGAAAATTATACTTAGAATTAAGAATAAATGTGGAATTTCGAAACTACAATCTTTTACTTTATGTATTTGCATTAACATCATCGGGCTCATCAAGGGTGCAGTTCAGCCGTGCTTTTTATGTAACATTACCCTTGCCTGTGTTTGTGTATATATTCTTAAATTAGGAAATTAAGATTGCATTAGTAGTAGTTATATTTCATTTTTATAGACAATAATACTACACGAACTTGTTAATATGTTTGATTTTGTTAATTGTTAAAAGTTAGCAATTTATGAAAAACAACACAATCTTTAAAATCTACAGCGAGTACTAAGCCTGCACCGTATTTTGAAATTATTCTTTAAGGCTTTTCGTTTTTCAACCTCATAGATGAGAGCCATGAATAGCTAATCATCAATCAATGCATTCTTTAGTACCTCCGAGTTTGAGCAATCGTTACTATCTAAGATGGCCCTGTAGTCACAGGTCTTTCAAATGCCCGAGGATGAGCCCCCTCGTATTCTTGCTGTGTCATATGATTGAAACATGGCTCGAATCGTTCATTCGCATGACTTAGTCTGCTTATTTTGGAACTTGCTACAAAAAATTCCTGTAGGGTATATCTAATTATCTACTAAAAATAATTAACTAACTAAAGCTATAAGCGAGTGTGAAATTTTATTTAACAATCTAAGATTTGTAATGGGCTGGAGGTGGTCCTTCAGGCCTTTGGAACTCATCTGCATTGACAGTATTAGCGGTGGTTCCACTGTATCCTTGCTGCTCATTGTATCCTTGTCCAGTATATCCTTGCTGCTGGTTGTATCCACCATATCCACCTGCACCAACACCAGCATCGGGATTTGGTGGTGGGTATTGATTATCGTACTGGTTTCCTTGGCCTTGATTGTAGTAGCCACCTGCTTGTTGGGTTTGATAATACTGATTATTATCCACAACATGAACCTTACCTTTATTCTTTCTCTTTCTAACGCAGAATAAGATAACCACGATTAGAAGCGGAATAAGAAGTAACAACCATAACAACCATCTGTATGAATACCAGTTACTGTTGCCATTATAACCATATCTATTACCATAATAGATTCTCTTTGTTATCTCTTCATTAATTTCCTTGACATACATCCTTAATTTGCTTACTTGACTTGAAGAAGAGAAAAAATTATTCATGGTTGCTTTAATGAATAATGGAAGAAGAAGTTGCAATTGTTCCATTTTTTACAATCACACACGACTTTTGTTGATACGACATTTCAGCTTGAAGACATTCGAGTGTCGTGCGACATCACCACATACGTTGGTTTTATCCGATAAAGAAGCACGCTGTAAAGTAAAAACTAGTAGTATATAGTGGCACACTGTTTAATATGAGTTTTCACTTAGTGCCCCCGCCAGTATCGAACAAACAAAACAAATCCAAACTGAGCTCAAATGAAAAGATACCCAAGAAAACTACAATTTCGACTAATATAAAGATCCACGGTAATCCGAGGCCCCAACTACGGACAACAAAATCGTCAAATAGCAGCGTTTCTAGTTATTCGGACCACACACCTGAAATAAGGAACAAAAATGGTGCAGTGAATGCGGATGAATTATCTAAGAGTTTGTTGGGATTAAAAAAATCGATGTCGTCTCTATCGTTGTCTCACAAGTCAAAGAAGAAGAGCAAGAATAGCGAAAGTCAAGGATCATATACACCGATATCACCCAGAAACAACAGGAGAAGTAAGCATGAAAATGCCGGAACTTCATCTAATGGAAGTTCCTCTCCAGTATTGAATCGTTCGAACTCTTCGAGCTTGTCTAATTTGAAGGCTGCGCATTCACGGTCGGAGTCTCCATCTATGCCGCAATTACTTTCAAACAACCAAGCTAATACTAATATAGCAAGTGCACGCTATATGGACTTAGATTACATAAGTCGTATATTAGACAACTCCGATTTACAACGATATTCATCTCATAGTCGTAGCGTAAGTGCAGATAACGGGAACAAGAAGAAAATAGATGCTATTGATTTTAAGCCGATTATAGACCTTTCGATAGTGAATTCATATGAGAAAATGAAGGAACACATGGTTTTTCCTACCTTCCACGTTTTGAAATATCGTAACTTTCTAAGCATTCTAAGTGATCATCATCAGAATGATCCTATTAGTTTTGCAAGTGTGAGAAATCATTCCCTAATAAATTTCATAGCTAGTTATAAAGGAGGTAAACAAGAACCGGAAAACTTGGATGACAAACAAAATGATGTAACATATTATGAAACTTTGTTAGGGACAGAATTGTTACGCTCAAGAAGCATATTTCGAGAGTTGATAAGACGAGACTCTGCAAAAATTGAAAATAAATCAAAAATTATAAACTGTGAAGAGTTATTACAATTGAATCTATCCAACTACGTTAGGTTTGTTCTTGATTTGCCCGATGAAATACCAGTTCCTTTGGAACAATTAGACAGTATTCAGCGCACACATTATAAATATAAAGAATTGTTTAAAAAAATCGGGCATGTATTATATTTGAAGAATAAGGAAGTTGGTGGAGATGAAAACCCTGATTCTGGTAACGCTTACATTCTACAGACAATCAGAGAAGTTTCATACGAGTACATTTTACTTGAGAAATATCTTCTTCATATCTTTACGAAGCTTGGTGATAATTCGTTGATTCAAAGTAGAAATCTAAATGTTTTGTTTGATAAATTTAATAATAAAATGCAAATGAAAGATAGCGAATCAATAAAAGTCTTGCATTATAACGCATATTTCAGTTCTCAATATTCATGGTATTTATCAATTACTGCTCCATTTCTAAGAGTAGTTGAAATGAACTCTTATTCGGAGAATTTTGAGCTTGTTAATAATTATGATAATTACTATAAAAATTTCAACGATGTCAAGAAAGTTTCGTTTAAAAATCTGGATTCCGACCTTTACGAAACGTACTTCAAGAATCTAGGACTCAATGATTATTTGAAATATCGGTTAATGACGCCGGAAAAATTGGTTGCATTACAGAAGTCTATTGATACAATAGCACAAAAGTTGAAAAGCTACAAGAAATTAGAATCTGATGATAACATATCTAACTGCAGTCACAAGCCTATGAACTTTGAATACTATACAGAATCTTTAGCGACTATATCCTCCGAAACTTTTCATCTTATTCAATCGAGAGACTTGCCACTTCAGTTGACCCTCAATAATTACTCAGTAATATTAAAAGAATTCCATAGAATATTGCAAAAAGATGGGATACTTGAAATTCCGTTTATACAACTAACCCGTAACAAGGTAAAGGAAACCTTCCAGCAAATGCACGATTTTTCCAAAGATGAGGGATTCATGAATTTAAATTTACTAGAGCAATTTAACATGATTCCAGACTTTTTGAAAACTATATTAGCGGAATTATCTCGTATTTTTGGCAAGGGAAATGTAAAATATCATGTGTCACTTTTGAATAGTATTGGTGAATTAAACTGCTTCTTGGTTAAGCACATATGTTTTCAGCTTTTTGAAATGTTTGGTCGTTTGGATGAGTACTGTTCAAAATTTACCGATGTGGACGATATGAGCTTGCGTGATATTAACGAAGAAGGCATGTATTATTTTATATATATAAAGGCCCAAAAGAAATAGACTGGTTTTCTATTATCTTACTACTGGTAGTAATATAAAATATGTAGCCTCTGGTACTGCATAAAAAAATTTATTGAGTCATATCAGACTGACAAAATATTATCAAAATAGATTAATACACTTATTCTCTTAAATTAAGCTATAAGTGTAGAACATGAAGACTGTATACGTTATAGACGTTGAAAGTGGTAACTTGCAATCCTTATTCAACGCAATTAAACGCATTGGGGGTTATGATGTTAAATTTATTCATGATGCAAAAGAATTCGCCGATTACAATAACAGTATTGAAAAATTAATATTTCCAGGTGTGGGTAACTATGCTCATTTTATCAAGCAATTACACGATAGAGAGTTAGTGGGTCCAATTACCAAGTATATTGAGAGTGGAAGGGCTCTCATGGGTATTTGTGTTGGATTACAAGCATTCTTCGAAAGTAGTGAAGAAAGTGATAGTTCGGAGTATCAAGGATTGGGATATTTAAAATTAGGTTTATCCAAGTTTAACAAATCAGATCCAGTATTTGCTCAAAGAAAACAATTGAAGGCCGTCCCCCATATTGGCTGGAATAGTGTTAATACCATTAAAGCCAATAATACTACTCTTCCTAAGACAAAGTCATTATTTGGTATCAATACAGTTAATAAATACTACTTTGTTCATTCATACGCGGCTATACTTAAAGATGAGCACCAAGAAAAGGTGGTAAGCGAAGCCGTTTCAAACGACTGGGATGTTGCATTCGCAAGATATGGATCTGAGATTTTTTTAGCAGCTGTTTCCTATAAAAATTTCTTCGCCACACAGTTTCACCCAGAAAAATCAGGTGTTGCAGGGTTGAAAGTCATCAAAAGCTTCTTGGAAGGCTCCAAATTTAGTGAGGTAACCCCATCTGATGCTCAGCCGGTTGATAATATTGAAAATACATTGAGTGGATTGACCAGAAGAGTTATTGCCTGTCTTGATGTCAGAAGCAATGATGATGGGGATTTGGTTGTTACAAAAGGTGATCAATATAATGTTCGTGAATCTTCTGGAGATTCTGCTGATAATAAAGTAAGAAACTTAGGCAAACCTGTCGAGTTAGCAACAAGATATTACAAACAAGGGGCGGATGAGGTTACATTTTTGAATATAACCTCATTTCGTAATTCGCCTTTGAAGGATTTACCTATGTTGAAAGTCTTAAGTACTGCAGCTGAAACAATCTTTGTACCATTGACAGTAGGTGGTGGAATTAAGGATATGGTTGATCCTATATCTGGTGAAAATGTACCAGCTGCGAAGGTAGCTAGTTTGTATTTTAGATCTGGTGCTGACAAAGTGAGTATTGGATCTGATGCAGTCACAATAGCTGAGAATTATTATGCAAACAATAAACAAAAAACGGGAACAAGTTCAATTGAAACAATTTCTGCTACATTTGGTAGTCAGGCCGTGGTCATATCTGTTGACCCAAAGCGTAAATATGTTCTGTCCCCATCTGAAACCACAATGGAGACCATTAGTATTCAAGATCCTCTGAAATATGGCCCATCAGGTGAGAAATACTGCTATTACCAAGTAACTTCACAAGGTGGAAGAGTAACTCACGAATTAGGTGCGCTTGAATTATGTCTTGCCTGTGAAGATTTGGGTGCCGGTGAGATTTTGTTGAATTCAATTGATCATGATGGTTCTAATAAAGGATTCAATTTGGAATTGTTAAGACAAGTTAAACAAAAGGTTTCAATTCCTGTTATAGCTAGTTCTGGTGCTGGAAATCCCGAACATTTCAAAGAAGTGTTTGAGATGGATTGTGGAATTGACGCCGCTTTAGGGGCTGGTTTATTCCACAGAGGTGAATATGAAGTTAACGATGTTAAGAAGTATTTACAGAAAGAATGTTCTATGGATGTCAGGTTAGATGACACTGTAGAGTTATAATATATAGATTATAGAAAATAATACGTCCTATATTGAAACCGAAATCTTTTCTCAAGTATCTCTGCGACAAATTTCAATGTGTGATAGAAATTTTTGGTGCAACAAATAAAGCTATTCAAGACAACATCAATTAATTAGATATGATGAGATAACATGCTTTCGGCTAAGAATGATCATTCAGTTGATGAAAATTCTGATTTATTAGAATTATCAGATTCCTTAAGTCCTTCTGACATCTCAAGCCAATCTTCTTTTAGTAATTTTAAGCGTTCCAACTCATTGCCAATACAATCAAATTTACCCACATTATTTAATAATTTAAGGGCGAATGATAGAAGAGAATTATCCAACAGTAACATTTCACCAGGAAGAAACTGGTTTAAAAAGCTAATGAGCTCGAATAATAAGCTAAACGATTTAGGATCTATGGAAAATATGAGACCAGGGTGGATAGGAAAAAGTACTAGTAGTAAATCATTAGGGGATAATGGCCATAGTGAAGATGACCTATATGATATTACTGTAGAGAATGAAACGGAAACTACTGCATATCCATTTAAAGATATCGACCAAGTTAAAATACCGTCGGTGTTCTTCAAGGAGGGTCTCTCATTACTCAAGGTATCTCACAAGTCTAAAAAAAGAACGTATTTTCAAATAGGTGATAAAGATTTTCAATTTTCCTTGAAAAATGCATATGCGTCTGCATCAAGCTCAGCTACAAATGGGTTGCATAGACTTCTTACGCCTACTTCAACGCATCAACCAAAAAACAAATCCTATGAATTTTCAATTGACGATATAAAGGCCATTTCGTATCAAAAAGATGCAAGCAACTATCGTGAAGAGCTTCATGTATCAAAGGAGTTCGAGAATCAGTGGTTAACAATTATCTATTTTGACAAGAAGAAGAAAAAATTAAAGACTATTCATATCATTGCTGATACAGAGCATGATCTTAAAAAGTTGTTGACTGTGTTATCTGGGTTAAGGAAATTGAGGAATAATTTGGCCAAAAATTATCTCCTTGACTTGAACGATATTGATGAAACTCAAAGAAATATGTTTATTGGTAGAAGTCAGGACGACAATGAAAAACAGATTAGGAAGTTTCTTTCTTTCAATGATATACTAAAATATTCAAAAAGGCTAAACATAAATATGAATCCAACCT